CTATTTGACTCTAAAAGCGTTGTTGACTGTAGTATCAGAAGGAACCAAGATAGCATTCAATATCATAAAGTTCAGAGTAGGGGTCTCAAACTGTGCAGCAAACTGAAAACTGCAACATGAAGAACTTCTTGGTGCTGATTTTACACACTGTAAAATTAAACCAGAAACATAATATTGGTGATCAAACATGTCCACTAACTCTGGTGTGGTGAAAATTTATGAAAGCAAAATCAGTGATGTAATCCCTCCATCCTTATAAAAATGGTATCCATTTGTTTATCATGTTAAGAAATATAGGAAAAAGACTGATTTAAGTTGTAGCAAATATGATTTAAGTTATATAAGGAAGAATTTCTGGAGGTTTCCCTGGTGGTCCAGTGGTTAAGAATCTGCCTTCCAATACAGGGGGCACGAGTTTGATCCCTGGCTGGGGAACTAAGATCCCACATGCCACAGGACAACTTAAGTCCACTCACCACAACTAGAGAAGCCCACCGTCCAAACTGCTGAGCCCATGTGCTCCAGAGCCCATGGTAAGCAGCTAGAAAAAGCCTGTGCACTGCAACGAAGACCCAGCACAGACAAAAATAATAAATAAACTAAAAATAATAATTATGCACAATATTAGAGTAACATATAAAATCTGCTTCTTTGATGGTCCTTAAAAATCGAATAGGGCTTCCTTGGTGGCTCAGAGGGTAAAGTGTCTGCCTGCAATGTGGGAGACCCGAGTTTGATCCCTGGGTTAGGAAGATCCCCTGGAGAAGGAAACGGCAACCCACTCCAGTATTCGTGCCTGTAAGATCCCATGGACAGAGGAGCCTGGTGGGCTACAGTCCATGGGGTCGCAAAGAGTCGGACATGAGTGAGCACAAACACAAAATCAAAACTGTGGCATCTTGAATTTAAACAGTCTTTTTGGTCATTTGTGAAATTTGAAGATACTTTACATTCACATCTTAAATCTTACCTCTTTCCTCTAATAGTCCTTTGAAAATTGAGTCCCCAAAAGATTTGTTCCAAAACCATATGTCTTTTGAATCATATTTGTTTGTGTCTTTAAATTGGAATTGGAGTAAATGAAGAATTAATGTGAGGTAGGAGATGATAGCTCTGAAACAGATGTCAAGAGCTTTGATTGTTGTCCACGCTTTCCTATTTATGGTCTCCATTATTTCAACTCATTTAATTTTTGAAAGAAGTCACTTCCTTATCAGTAAAACAAGAATATTTTGCAAGGTAATACGTTAAAAAAATCCTATGCATCTATAAAAGTCAGCATTCTAGCAGAAAATTCTTAGAAGCAATGAGAAGGAAGGGAAGAAAACATATTAGCAAAGACATTGTGGACATCTGAGACCAGCTGCTTCTCTTTAAAAGTGCTCACCCTCTCCTTTTTTCTTTCATATTGCACACCATATGCTATGATGTCCTAACTTCTACTACAATTTACTATACTTGATTCAGTAAATATTATTTGAGCAATAATATGTATGATACTCGAGGCTCACTTCTTTATTTCACTATGGATTTTGGCCTTTTTAAGTAATATAAATTTAGAATTTGAGTGTCTCTGAAGAGACTGTACAAAGCAAGATGTGTGTCCTTGTTTACATTTTGGTCAAGAATGGTCAGTACTTAATGGGGTGGGTCAACAGAAAAGCTTCAAAACGGAGTAAGATCAAACATGTCAGGGAAGTGAATAATTAAAAAATAGAAATCAGAGGTTAAGTAGACAGAAACAAATTTGACACTTGTTCGCCAACAGAGACTATGTCCTGCATCACTGTATATATTGCTTAAATTTTACTCAGGTACTCCAGGTATTTGAATCTGCAGGACACTTATGGATTTCTGGTCTGCTGTCACTCCCTTTTTTAAACTTTTGTCTTCTGACTAACTAATATTACATTGTGGGAAGTGTGATCTTGCTTGTTATAAAGTCAGTGGCTGCATAGTTCTCTTTGTGTTTTGTTTGGCCATCAAAGCCTTGGGCTCTAGTCTCCATGCAGAGTTAATTCTACCTCTGCTCCTACAAAATTAAGAAAGTGTAGAATTTTTCCTGGATGCAGCGCTTCTATCCATATGCTTTAGGTTTCAGGAAAATTCAAATAAGCATAACAATAGGACATTATTTTTTTTTAATGTGGACCAATGTTGAAGTAATTATTAAAATGTGTCAGATGGAGGCAATTCATGAGTTTATCTTTGGTGTTTCTGTTGTATCCCTTCCTTGTATCTTTCTTAACTCTCTTCGTCCTATCTGAGTTTTCCTCTCAGGCATCCAACATGCTTGTTCCACTATTCTTCACAGACATTAAACCTACTATCTGAAAGAAAATTTCGTGTCAGTTCTTTATAGTTTAGTATGAATTGAGGACAACATGTTCCCTCTCCTGCGGGCATTTGCATTGTAAACCTGAGAATTGAGAGAAAGTCTTTCCTAATGGAATGTCAGCGAGGACTTTCCAGCACCTTTTAGACATCAGAAACTAATCTTTAACCTTGAGTTGGACCTGTAGCTGGGCATGTCTTAGCACTAATTCCTCCTTACCCTCTAGTTAAGATGGGCCAAATGACTCAAATAAACAGGAGTATAGGTGCCAACCCCCAAATTCTAACAATATTTGAGTCACAGAATTCGTTTGCAGAGTTAGAGCCACTTTTCTTTCCCTTGTTCCTATTTATTCCTGCTACTTAAATTATCTTATGTGTGCCTGCCTTGTTAGGCTGGAGCCCTTCCAGGGCAGAGACCACATTTTACTCAGCTCTGGATCTCTAGGCCCGGCACGGTGTCTGGCTCACTGAAAAAACCCTTCCTGGCAAATAATTAGATTCCTGCAGTTCAAATCTGCCAAGAGCCATGTTTCCTTAAAATTGTATGCCCAGTTCTCTTACACCAAGGGTCTTTCCCCTCATTTCATAGACTACCCACCATGAAGGAAAAGTCGAAACTAGTCTGTCCACCCAACCCCAAACAATTGTTGGGGGTATTTCAGAGCCTACTGGGAAGCAGAGATAGAAGAATTGCCTCTGGATCTAGTCTGATGAACATTATATTCTTCATGGTTCTAGAATGCAGGGGCTTTATAGAACAGAAGGAAAAGAAAGCTAGTTTCATTTCAACAGTGCATGATGCCAGGTATTTACTAGAGCCAATGCCACCCAAGGCCCAGAGGGTTAGCTGGAGCAGCCGATACTCTCTGCTGCTTTTTATAACTCTCTTTCCCAGCACCATGCTCTGTGTATTCCCATTTCATCAGGTCACATCAACTTAGGTCATGCCCAATACTGCATCTTATACCAAATGCATCACTGTGTGGAATATTCTGTTTCCTTTAAAAATTATAAAAATAAAGATAAATTCCTTAAAAATAAAGTAGGGGAAGTCTCCCTGATTCTTTGTGAAAGCAGTGACTTTGCCAGTTTTTCCTTCCAAAAGACATTGCAGCTTATCCACTATCAGCAAGCTGTGAAATTGCTAGGTTAAGAATGGAATGTACAGTACAGAACCAAATTGTACATAGAGTTGTGAAATACAATTTTGGTGGTGGTGAGTGGTAAGTCTGCAAACTTGTGAAAACCATTTGCAAAGATACTTGCTGTCCACTTGGTTTTTTGGTAGTAAGATTAGAGAGAAAGGGGATTCTATAAATGATCTTTAAACTGTCAATATTTATTCAATATATTTGATAGCTCTCATATACAATACACAGTCTTGGCCATTTGGGGGGGGATATAAAAGGTGGAAAATCCAAATATCTTGACTTTAAAGGACTTATTATTTAGAAAGAATGTTAATTTTAAAATACAAAGAGCCATCATATCATTTATTGAGGACATACCATACGTGTCAGGAACTGTGGCAAGTATTTTTATATACTCTATATCAGCGGTTGGCAATCTGTGACCAAAGGGCTAAATCTAGTCTATCATCTGTTTTTGTAAATAAAGTTTTACTGAAACACAGCCACATCTATTTGTTTGAGTATTTCCTATGACTGTTTTGTGCTATAATGGCAGAGTTGAGTAGCTGTGAGAGCGTTGAAACAGTCTGACCTGTAAAACTAAAATAGTTTCTATCTGCCCCTTATAGAAAATATTTGCTGACCTTTGCTGTATATAATTCATTCTCACAAGAATACTCAGAGATACAGTGTTTCGCATTTTCCAATTAAGGTAACTGAAGGTATAGCTTATGTAACTTAGCAAGTGGCAAAGCATGGATTTAATTCTAGATTTATCTGGTTCCAAAAATCTATGTTCTTATGATATATTTGTATATAGAAGTAGCCAAAATATGGGGTAGGAAGAAGTCAGAGCCTTATAGATTCACAGAGAAACTATTATTAGGGTTCAGAAAAGAGAGATTATTTTGATCATAGGGTGATAAAGATTCTGGAAAAGATTATATTTGAATACAGAAGTAAAAATGCATCTGAGGAATTTTCTGTCCCAAGCTCAAGCCCAAGAAAAGTTAACAGATGAAGGTCAGATGTTTAGTTAGAAGTAGAGCTGAGATTAGAACCAGTTTCCCATTCACTGAGCTCTAAGTATGCCGTCAGTGACTATACTGAACCATTGAATCTTTGTGTGTGTGTGTGTGTGTGTGTGTGTGGTTAAATGCCATAGAATGGCATAATTATTTGAAATGAAATGTATGTTGAATGACACATACAAAAACTTGTATGTTTTACTTTGTAGTAATTGAACTAAACGGCCTGCACTTCCTTTATTGAATCAATCAAAAAAAAATATTTGTGCAGACATTTATATGATACCACCACCTAACCAACATCCTACCAAATATATTTTGGTTGTGGAAGATTACACTTCTGAGACAATGAGAACCACTGGCATGCTCAACGACTTTCATTTCAAATAATAAACAAGAGACCACAAAGGATAATATTCATATCCATCTTGCCCTGCAGAATCAGGTGGCTCTAGGCCAGGAGGAGAATGGAGAAGCGAGCCGAGGGTAGCTGAAGGAAGCTTACCTGATACTGTAGAGGACTTTGCCATTTTTTGAAATGCGAAGTAGTTTATTGTCAGTGGTAACATCATGGAAGTTGGCCCCCTTCTCATTGGCAAAGAACAAATCTGGTTTCCAAATGGAGTCCAGCATCGATGGGTCCAGGTCCAGAGAATCATCAGGGTACTCGCTATATGCCAACCGTGAATCGTTCCACTGTTGTCTCAGAAAAATATTCACTCGGTAGTCCTACAGAAACGCCATGCATAAGAGTTATCTATCAACCATTCTGACATATTTTCCCCTCACTCTTCTCCCTGATCTGATGTGTGCCGTGTTGGTATCTGAATAAACCCAACTGTGTATATCTTGGCCAAAATAAACCACTCAGTTCTATTAGGAGTGGGAACAGACGGGAGAAAGAAAGAAGACTCAACCAAACCAAAACACTAATGGAACAAGCTGAGTTGGTTGAATTTTTATTTAATCATTCTGGGTGGAAAGAATTTGCCTGCAATGCAGGAGATGTGAGTTTGATCCCTGGGTCAGGAAGATCCCCTGGAGAAGGAAATGACAACCCACTCCAGTATTCTTGCCTGGGAAATCCCACAGACAGAGAAACCTGGTGGGCTACAGTCCATGGGGTTGCAAAGTCAGACATGACTTAGCGACTAAACAACAAATAACAACCATCCAATTTTGCTGTAGAAAAAGATAGTGGTAAGTACAGCAGTCAGCCTGCGATGGCATATTGTCAAATAAAACTGATTTATTTTCCAAATCAGAAATGACATGATCTCTGTTTTCAATCTTCTCAGATGCTTTGGGCAGAAGAAAAGCCACTCTGTAATTTTGTAGTGGAAATCTTATTATAAAACTCTGATATGATGGGGCAGTATTTTTTAAATTCATCAACATAAATATTAAGATGTTTCATGTTGACAAGATAATTCCCTTACAGCTACTTACTTTTGAAACTCTTAAATATTTTATCATTTCTCTGAATGGGTTGTATATACGGTAGTCGACTTGATGCTTCATCAAAACAGAAATCTCTTTCATGTTTTCCTCATCTGAGCACCTTTTGATAAAAGTGTTCCTCCCCGTAGAAACTCAGATACACCCTATCATTCCCACTTGGCCTGGAAATTTTCTTCTGTGCTAATGAATCAGCGTGAAGCAGTAACTTCTCTTCAGAGGAGTTTGACTTAAAGGCCTTTAGGTTCAAGGAAATCGTTGCTTTGCTTGTTAGAGCACACCCAATAGAGGCTTCAACAGCCTTCCCTAGTCAAGCGGGACTACGGTTCAGAGTGAACAGTTGTCCACATCTGCCACCTGTGGGCTTTTAGGGTGATATATACTCATCCCATCTTACTCTCTTTACCTTTTCCACCTTCATTTGCTTTGTCTCCACATGTTTGTTTTGGCATCTGGATCTTGGGTCATTGCTTACTTTTCTGTAACGGTGACCAACATGTCCTAGTTTGCCTAAGAACTTTTCCAATTTAGCCTCAGAAGTCCCACATTCAGGGAACCCACTCAGTCATAGGCAAAACTTGGATGATTGGTTTTTCTATCAGGTACAATGGAGACCACCTCAGGATGGTCTGTTTTGGTTAATCCCTTTAGAGCCAAAAGAAAAATCGTAACTAGATTATAAAGATCTGGGTTGATAAAAGAGCATCAATCCAGTTCCTTCTCCTTAATCACTAAACTCTCCAAATTATGACTTCTCCCCATAATACAGCCATTTGACAATCAGGCTGGTAGAGTATTTTGGAAATGGCAGTTCTTAGAAAGAGTGCCCCATGTGGGTTTAAAGAATGCTAATAATCAAATAGTTACTAACTTCTGGAAATGAGTCATTAAAGCCTAGCTTCTTAGGAAAAGCTGAAATACATTTTTAATAATGACTATATGTTTCTCTATTGTACAACATAAAGACTTTTTGACTTGGAAAATTTTATCAGCTGATTTTTATTTGGGATTATTGGACAGAGGAACTTGGCAGGCTACAGTCCATAGGGTTGCAAAGAGTCGGACACAACTGAGCAACTTCATTTTACTTGATACCAGGCCTGCGAAGCAAATTCCCAGACCTGAGAGGGTGCTGTTGTGGGCCCAGGGAAGCTTCCATTCCATTCTATTTGCTCATTGGCTATCCCCTCCCTTAAAGAGTAAACCAAGAGAATGGCAAAATCTTAAAAGTTCTCCCATCACATATTTTGCATTTTTGGAATTATCCAAAGGAATCAGAGGATAGTAACTGGAAGGAGATGACCACTTAGTGTTTCATTGGCAACAGGAGTTACTGGAAGCTTTGGAGTTTTGTGTGAATAAAGAATGGAAATGTGTGATTTGTGGAAAACAAAACAGGGGCTGTTGAAAATAAAATAATCCAATTTGCATATAAATAGGTACTAGATAGACCAACTGTGATATTTTCTAAAGATTTCCTGAAGGAAAAATAATGCAGTGTCTCCACTATGTGACAACTACCCCTTTTATTTCCCTTAGGGTGGGAACCAATTATCCTTAATAAAATTTTTTTGTGTGAGGGTTTATGAGATTGGCTCAGTAGGAGGTAGGAGAGAAGAGGATGTCATCTCTTAGTCAATTCTGGAGGTAGAAAAATTCTAAGTATAGGAAGTAATGATAGCTGGAAATAACAGAGATGAATGGGTTAAATTTCTTAGGCCATAGGGAGACCCCTACCCCGGAAGGAAACAGAAAGAGAGAGGCCATGAAAAGTCGGAGAGTGAGCGTTCAGCAACAAAATCACCAGGAGAACATCACTGTAGTCCTCCTTTGAACCTGAGAATGATTTAAATATGCATTTTGAGAGATTCCAGAGAATATTACATTAGTGACATAAAATATGAAACATTGACTTAAAAAAAAACTCAATATAAACTTTCACAGCTAATATACATCTTTTAAAAAAGTCTTTCCCACAAGTTTTCTTCTCCAGTGTTTCCTACTTTGCTATTTTGAATTTTCTTCCAATATCAGAACTTTAAAAAAGAGCACTGAATCTATCTTATCACAATAGACCCACTAACTGTCTAAGAGTTAATTTAAAATAAATTAATTAGCCTGTTCATAAGCAAGGATAAGTGGAAAAGTTAGAGGAGAAAATATATTTTATGCCATAGTGACAGGAATTATATGAAATAAGACTTATTAGATCTTTTGGAAGTATTTTTTCTTTATAATGTATAGGAATTAAAATTTTCCTTAGTTTTGTTCATGATGGTAATACATTATTCCAGAATAAATGGCAACCCTTAAAACTTTAAAGAATAGAAAAGAACACCCAAGGATATAGAGAAGTAGATAGCCAAAGAAAAGATCTTCCAGGGCTGTGCCCGTATGATTCTTTCAGTTCACTATCATTTTCAATGTAGGGTACAAATTTGACGTATGATTTATCCATGCACTGCCTCTGTTTATTTACAGATAGGTTTATTCTCTCAAGATATTCCAAACCACCAGAGATGGTCATATTGCTCTGTAGCCTTTCTTTGTCTTTATTTTTGCTTCTAGGTTTAATGAAATATTAAAGGAGAAGTAAATATTGAGAGACATGCTTAAGTGCAGACTGAATTTTCTTTTATACTGCCTTGTCTCTCCAGAGATATATTCTACTTCAAATAAATGAGATATCTCCTTGTATTAAAATTTGTTTTTCTATGATTGACTCCCTGGGTACTAGATTAGATAATGGAAACATTTAAATTAAAAAGTATGTGTATGTATATCTATATATATTTATTTTTGTATGTGCATGTCTGTATGTGTGTAAATGCATACATATATCTTTTATTTTTCAAGGCTATGTGTAAGTCATAGAATCTTTATATATTCTTTTTTTTTCCATTTATTTTTATTAGTTGGAGGCTAATTACTTTACATCACCTCTGGGTCTTCCCAGTGCGCCAGGCTATATATTCTTAACACAGGTAATACAGGTACCTATATTCCATACTATTACTTCACATCAAATTTAGAATTTCTAAAGTTTTACTTTTTTGGTACCTTCTAATTCTATGCCCATGCCACAGAGATTGTTTCCTTAAATAGAATTATTTTGTTATATTTAGTCTAGCATTTGTACTTGGGGATTGCCACTCTATCTCATCTGCATTCATATTAAACTTCACTACTTCTCTCTTTTTATTTTATATGTATATATTTTTCAGTCCAATTATGTCATAAAGTTTTCAAAGATATGCTTTGTGGACCTATAGGGCAGTTTAGTTTTAACTTCTAGCTACACTGCAATAATGTTTTCATCATCTTGAGTTTGTGCTAGCTTTGAATATGGAAAGTTAGCTTTGAATTTGAAATTATGGGAGGAGCAGCTGCTTTATGATGAATTCAGGTTTTAACATTGCATTTTTAATTTAGAGACCAAGGTCACCTTGTATCTTACATTAACAAAATGTTAGGTTGATTCTTGGTTCTCCCTTAAGAATTTAGAAATAAAGAATGTAGGTACCTGCTATTCCTGGTAAGTTAGCATGTCTTTATGTGTTGCTTATGCGACTGTAGAATGAAAAGGAGCCTGTAACGTCATTCCAGCAGTTAGAGCAACCATACATTCTCCTAAGGGACTATCCACATCAATCTTATCCAGTTCTTTGGGAACGTGATTTCAGTCTAGAGGTAAAACAACTCTTAACCCTGCAGCAGTAACCAGCAGAGGATGTGGAATTTGGGGAAGATTCCGGGGAGCTGGAATCATATTCTAGAGATACTCTCTGAGTAGACACATTTTGTACACTCTCAGCTCTTTCTACCCGCTCCCTGCTGTTGCGATCCATTTCCTGCTGCTTTGGCACGGGAATGTTCTAGCACTCACAGGTTCAAGTCACATTTTGTTCACCCACATCCTTCCAGGCAGTTATTTGGAAGGTTTGGGGAGACTGTCTCTTCTCCATTTTCTAATGGCCCAACCTTGGGGACAGCTGCATGCAGATGGCATACAAATATTCTTGATCTTTACTGACACTATCCGTATTCCTGAACTATGCCTTTGTGTTAGGAAGGAAGGGCTTGCAAATACACCCCTCATCCTGTAAATTAACTTGCCATCACTAGCTAAAGAAAAGGGGGAAAGAAAGAAAAGGAAATGGTAAACTGACATTCTGAAACTAAATTATAACCTGTCTCATCATACACCCCTTTCTGGTCTAATGAGTCTTTTGGAATCATAAAAAAAAAAAAAAAATTGTCCCACTGAATACTCCTAATACAGGGTCAGCTAGTAATGACCATCAACAGATCCCTGTGACTTTTAATGAACAGAAGTATATATTTTGAAATAATGTGTATGACCATAATGATCCATAAAAATATTCCTTAGAATAACACAAATATATTGTCCTGTGAGCGCACATCTTCAACAATAATATGCCAAAGAGTGAGAGGCAATATGAGTCCCTGTGTGAGCCTGTTCTTTGCAGGGAGTAAGTAACAACAGTAATTTAGTGGGATTTCATCAAGCATAATAGGAGACACTGCACAGCACCAAAAGAAAGTCATACTGAGTTCTTAAAACAGATACTTATTGCCTCTTCTTTAGAAACAAACATCCAAACTAAATTCTTCAATAATACTGCCAAGAGTTGTGGGATAAGAGTGGGATATGAGAGAAATCAACATGTTTAGAAACTCAAAATTCTGATAAATTCTTGGGGAAAAAATCATTCCAGAAAACATAGGGAAAGCAAAACTATTATTCTCCCTCCATTCATAGCACTAATCAACATCCTCAATAACTACATACATTACTGTGCATAAAAGCTAAGAGTCTGATGTCTTGTCAACTAAAGAATTCAAGGAAGAATTTGGTTCTGTTTAATTTTTTTGACCATTTTTTGAGCCATATTTTGTGAGTATATTCATGAGCGGTAGAGTCTCAGGGTTTTGGTAAGGGAAATTTGGGCTGTGATGACACTCTGTGGGTGCATCAGGTAGATACCTAGGCAGAGCCTAAAAGATCTGGAAAGATAAGATCTTTTCAAGGTGAAGCAATTCTCATGTTCTTATGATCACCTGCATAATGTCTATTTAAATGATGATGCCTTACATCCCAAAATTGACAATCTATGGCCTGTGGGCCAAATTTGGCCACAGTCTGTGTTCATAAGTAAAGTTTTTTTTTTTTCTGGAGTATAGCCATACCCATTTCCTTACTACTGTTTATGGCTGCTTTTATGCTGAAAGGGTGGGATTAAGTAGTTGTGACAAAAATTGTCTGGTCCTCAAAGTCTTAAGTATTTACTGTCTGGTGTTTTCGAGAATGTTTGCTAGTCCCTACCCTACATGACTCGAGAATTTATTCTTTGACTTAAGCATGGTAGAGTTTCAAAAATTTTTTTTTAGTTTCACACAAGAGCCATAATTAAAGAAAATAAAGATACTTTTTAAAAGCCAAATTCAGTTTGTTATTACATCAGAAGCTAAGAAATAAAATAGAAGAAGCATATAGGCATCATTCTTCTAACCATGCGATTCAATACATCTCATAGAGCAGAATAGACAGGCCATTGGTATTACGCTTGGGCAATGATTTCCAAGTTTTCTCATAGGAAACAAGACAAAGGACACTTTAGTAAGTGGCCAAGAAGCACCTAGGCAGCCCGTTTATTAAATAACCTTCAGTAGCTCTTAAAGACACAGGAAAACAAGGATATCCATAGTTATCATTTTCGTCTCCTTAAATGTTTAGCTTTATCTTGCATTAATGAACATTGAAGAGGTTTATATTTACATTTTTGATTGAGGGTAAGATGCAATGAGGAAATTTAATCAAAGCAACTTAGGGGTCTAATTAATGCAATCAGCATTAGGTCGTGCAAGTATTGTCATTGAATGCCATCGTGTAAAGCTGGTGATAGTGATTTGGGCGGCTGGAATATCTACCCCTCTGTTATCAAGATAAAACCAAGAGGGGAGAGACAGACACTGAATGCCAAGTCCAAAGCTGGAGTCTTCTTTCCATGTTGAGCTTTTCTTATGAGCTAATTAATAATCCTATCAAAACTATCTTAGTTGAGTAAAATTCTTAATGCACTACATATGGTCAAAGTTTCATTTCTGGACAATGCTGTGTCAGAATATTATTAAAATGGATGGTGGAGTTATATTATGTCTGGCTTGCCAGTGAAAATGAATGTTGAGGTAAATTATTCTTTTCTAACATCAAAGATATCAAGAAGTACAGTAATTTGTTAAACACAATCCTAATAGTCCAAAAGAGAATTCATAAAGACAGTGGAACACGGTTTTTTACTTCTCAATGGCACTATGCTTATTATTTCATTTCTTGAGTGTTTCTAGGACATCAGCCACCATAGTACTTAGTCAAGCTCAACTAACTGTATTTTATTTTGATCTCATCCAATAATACAACTGTGTACTTTACATATACAGGTGGCGCTAGTGGTAAAGAACCCACCTGCCAATGCAGGAGAACTAAGAGATGCTAGTTCAGTTCCTGGGTTGGGAAGATCCCCTGGGAGGAGGAAATGGCAACCCACTCCAGTATTCTTGCCTGGAAAATTCCATGGACAAAAAAGCCTGGCAGGCTATAGTCCATGGGGTCGCAAAGAGGCAGACATGACTAAAGGGACTTAATACAACAACATACTTTGCATAGTCATGAAAATTAGAACCCGTCAGTGGACTTAAATTATATGGAGGCTAAGAAAATATTTCACTCAAAATGTAATCTCCACACTATAGCCTAGCACTGTAAGGTTACTGATCTAATAGGCTGTGTCACAGGCAACAACACCACTTTGACACCGATAAGGAGTCTTGGTGAATTTTAAAGTAGCTAAAATCTTTTTCATGTACTTGAAACATGTCTGCACTTAGAATATGATGGGGTTTTATTAGTTTTATGTTTATTTTGGGTGGGGGAGCCATGCATGTTATGTAATTCCTGTGGATTTGGAACAACTTTCTATTGCCATCAAATTGGTGTGTGTGTGTGTGTGTGTGTGTGTATTTTAAGGTCAGCTTCTTGGCATATATCTTAAATGTAGCATGTCTGAAGCTTGATTATGTTAAAGTGTCCCATTATATGAAAATATCTCCTAAACTTTGAAATTTGTACTTCTGAAACATTGGAGATGCAAATATTTAAATATCCTTAATTATGCACCAGCTCATTACTGATAATTCTACCTAAATATAACCAAACATCAAGTGCTTCCAAAATTTCTCTGGCATGATGGATGAAAGATTATTGAATTTTAAACAAATGAATTTCTGACTAATGAATTCCTAAGGTGAAAGAGTATAACTAATTGCTTTCTAGAGGTGAATGAATTTGGAAATTAGCACTCAGTAAATGTCTCACAAATGTACAACAGTGCTCTTTGATCACACATCCCATTCCTTCACACGATGGCTTCAATGCTCAGTCCCACTCACCATTGTAGTTTCTGCTATTGACCCAAAGCTGTTGATAAATATGTTGCAGGTAACATTTACAGGAGGTCCTGCAAGTTGAACAATAAATAGAAAATTTGACAGGTTGTGTTCATGGCATAATCAAGTCATGTTTTTCTCTTGCCAGTGGCATTGTAGCACTTACCATGGTGGTTTCTGTGACTGATCCAAAACTGTTGATAAAAATATTGCAAGTAACGTTTACTGGAGGACCTGCAGAACGTAATAAGAATGTTGCAATAGACATTGAAGCAAAAATACAGCCCCATCAACATCTGTGCAAATGACTAGAGATGTAACCAAATTAAAATGATGGTGAGATTGCAAAAAAAAAAAAAAAAAGAAAGTTTTACCCAGAGAAGTTCACAGTAATAACATTCCCACTAGCCTTTCAAATAATGACAGTTAAGCAATGATAACCTACCCTGAAGAGTTTTGGACTTGGAAAATATAAGCTGAAGACTATTAAATGGAATTCATTGTCAATAGTTGTGATCAAAATTGCCTTTTGGATGAGTGGCTTTCTTTGACCTTAGGCTCATCAACCTTGTAGATGTCAACAATGGGTGCACATGACGATGAAATAGCCTGGCTCATAAGTTCAAATGGAGCTACATTTTGAACGGTGGATGGGTCAGGAATATCCACCTCCTTTTGTGGAATACCCTTTAAATCAATGGGTCTAGTTTGATTCTCATGATACCTCTGAATTTACCCCATTCCTTCTTTATACCCTGTGACTGCCTAATGAGAAATGATGCACAGAAATACAAAACCAAAGATTAGTTCACTTAAAGAAATAAACCCAGCAGTGTCACTTAATGTCCAGATTGTTACATCAATAAATATAGTATAAAGCAAGGTTTCGTTTCCCTGGTGACTCAGATGGTAAAGAATCTGCCTGCAATGCAGGAGACACAAGAGACGTGGGTTTGATCCCTGGGTTGGGAAGATCCCTGGAGAAGGGAATGACTACCCACTCCAGTATTCTTGCCTGGACAATTCCATGGAAGTTTATTAATCCTAGATGTGCTTTAAACAAAGAGCATGCTTTTTCCTCCAGAGACATAGGGAATAACTCTCTTTTCCTCTTGCCCTTTGTTTCTCCTCCAAGCAAGCACTAACCAGCCTGCCCCTGTTTAGCTTCAGAGATCAGGTAAAATCAGGCATGTTCAAAGGGTACAGCCACAAACTCTTTGCCCTCTGACAATAGATTAATCACCTTTTGATGACCTCCAGTTTCATGTTATGTTGTGCAATATATTTATTGCCCTCATGTAGTTTCCACATAATGCTTTCTAAGACATGAAACAGTTCATATTGCCATGAACCATCTATGTGCTTGTTGCTTTCTCCTATGGAAATTTATTTCTTTTCACTTAACAAAGGCTCAGTATCCTGGCTCAAGCTACACCCCAGTTGATTCTGTTTGCAACAAGCAGGTAGGATCTGAATGAGGAGGAGTTTGGCTTGAAGCCTCCTTCAAAGGCTGATAGTAGAACACAGCTGCAGCAACACTTGAGTGCCATGTTTTTATTTCTCAAGTCCATGTTGAGTTCTCAAAATGAAAAAAAGAAAAGGGCTCAACAGCTAATGTAAATTTCCAGGCAAGGAAACTTTTGGTAAAAGAAGGAACAAGGACTATGGATAAGAGAGATGTAATAAACGATTTTTCTTTTTAATATAACTAACTTCTCTGCTTTTAATGAGAAAATAGTGTTTTTTAAAAAGTGTTTTTGGGCATCGGATCATAAACATCACCATATTACCAAAGCATTTTTCAGCCTACATCTTTGAAATATTCCACGTCTTTTTAGTTTATCCCCTTGTTATTCATCATTTGCTAAGATGACTTCTTTTCCATGGTCACTTCCTACTCTGCTTTATTTTGTTTTTCTATTTAGGTTACTCGAAAAAAAAACCAGCAAAAAAAAAAAGAGTCTCTTTCTTGGCCATAGAATTTTATTCTATAACAAATATATTTTTATGCTAGTAAGAGATAAAGTAAACAAGTAAGAGTCAAGTCACGAGAAATTGTGTGTCTTTACTTTTTTTCCTCTCTTCACAACAAGATATTTCCTTTTAGATGCTCCAATTCAGGGTGGAAAACTTTCATGAATTTTTATATACAAGATAGAAAATGAATAATGTGGGAAAAGAAACAGGAAAGAGAGAAACATCATCTTAACAGGAGGAATTTGAAAATCCAAATGTAGGTTCTCTTGTACTGTAGATTATCTGAATGTCTGGCCTCCCCAACTGGCTTCGAACCAATTAGAAGGCTGGGTCATGCCATCATGCATCTGTTTTTATCCTTCCCAGTACATGGCAGTGTGTGTATACTGCTAGAATTCAAAATATTTTTTAAGCTACCACATATTGACATACTGTACTGAGCACATTTAAGAAGTCATCTGTTTTAATCCTCACACAAGAGGAATTGTTTCAGTGCTCCAATAAATATTTTCAGATGAGGAAACTGGGAGTTAGAGAAATTAAGTAACTTGCTTAAAGTCATGCCACAGTAATTAGAGAAGCTGAGACTCAAGGTCTTATCATTCTGATTCCAAAATCCTAAATTTTTCAACCATTTTGCTGCACTAGATTCATTGCCTAATATCCTCTGACCTGCAAACCAGGGTATTTTTCATTGGTTTGTACACTTCTGGGATAGTTTGACCCTTTGCATCTGATCATTTCAATCTTGGCCACTGCCTTAAGAATCATTTGCGTTTGAATATAAAACCTTGGAAATGAAAAAAGAAGTAACTTTCACATGCATGTATTAATAAGGAGCTCACATATATTAAAATTTGCTGTATGCCAATAAGTGCCTTATTTCATTCTTCAGTAATTACATGTTAACCATGTCTCCCATTCCCAGTGAAATGCCCATTCCCATTCCCATTCCTAGCAAAAACTGGGCTGGATGAAGCACAAGCTGCAATCAAGATTGCAGGGAGAAATATCAATAACCTCAGATACACAGATGACACCACCCTGATGGCAGAAAACGAAGAGGAACTAAAGAGCCTCTTGATGAAAATGAAAGGGGAGAGTGAAGAAGCTGGCTTAAAACTCAACATTCAGAAAACTAAGATCATGGCATCCAATCCCATCACTCCATGGCAAATAGATGGAAAAACAATGGAAACAGTGAGAGACTTTATTTTCTTGGGCTAAATCACCACAGATGGTGATTGCAGCCATGGAATTAAAAGACGCTTGCTCCTTGGAAGAAAAGTTATGACCAACCTAGACATCATGTTAAAAAGCAGAGATATTACTTTGCTGACAAAGGTCTGTTTAGTCAAAGCTATGGATTTTCCAGTAGTCATATGTGGATGTGAGAGTTGGACTATAAAGAAAGCTAGCACTGAAGAATTGATGCTTTTGAACTGTGGTGTTGGAGAAGACTCTTGAGAGTCCCTTGGACTGCAAGGAGATCCAACTAGTCGATCCTAAAGGAAATCAGTCCTGAATATTCATTGGAAGGACTGATGCTGAAGCTGAAACTCCCATACTTTGGCCACCTGATGCAAAGAACTGACTCATTGGAAAAGACCCTGATGCTGGGAAAGACTGAAGGCAGGAGGAGAAGGGGACGACAGAGGATGAGATGGTTGGATGGCATCACCGACTCAATGAACATGAGTTTGAGCAAGCTCCGGGAGTTGGTGATGGACAGGGAGGCCTGGTGTGCTGCAGTCAGTGGGGTCGCAAAGAGTCGGGCACGACTGAGCGACTGAACTGAATGCCTCCCATTTTATAGATGAGTAAACTGAGGCACAAAGGAAATTCATTAATTTTCCCAAGGCCACAGAGTTTGGAAGAGGCAGAAACTGCCTAACTTTAGGGACACCTTTTTTAGCTAGAGGGATAAAATGCCTGAGGCCAATAAAATCACCTGGAGGATAGAAGTTACCTGAATATGGGACAATGTCTGCAAATTCTTTGTGTTGAATAATGGCATTGTTTTTCACTGTTAAAAAATAAAAAGAGTTATCCTGACATGTGCCAACACAACCTCCCATCTGTGTTTTAGCCCAATAATTTACTAAGGTGTTCTAATTAACAGTAACACATTCTTAGATGTGATCACCAGCAAATGAATGTGTTCTATAAACTGCAGAAAGAGTTAACACTACTTAAGCTCATCTAATTGGTTTATCAGCAAAGATACTCCAAAGTGAATTTGATGAGAATTTGACTGGGAAGTATTATACAGACATCTGATCACTCGTATCACTTTTCTCTCCTTCCTTCCTCCCTCCTGCCCTCAACAGAACCAAAAGTTGGCTCTCTTAAAAGATCAAAAAACTTTGCAAACTTCTTCTAATGGGAAAAATCTCAGTTGGCTATGATGTATAATCCTTTTACTATGCTGTTGAATTTATTTTGATGCTATTTTGTTGTAGATTTTTACATCTATATCCACAAAGGTTATTTGTCCTTAATTTTATTGTCCTGTGGTGTATTTATCTGTCTTTGGTGTCAAAGTAATTTTGGCCTTATAGAATGAGTTAGGAAGTATTCTTTTCTCTTTTATTTCTTGGAAGAGTTTGAGAAGGATTGGTGTTATTTCTTCCTTATGTGTTGTAATAATTTACTAGTGAAGCCATCTGGTCCTAAACTCTGTTGGAAGGTTTTTTATTTTTCAGTAGATTTATTTGCTTGTTATAGGTCAAAGATTTTCTATTTCATCTTGAGTCAGTTTAGGTAAATTATGTATTTCTAGGCATTTGTCCATTTTATCTCAGTCAGTTCAGTTCAGTCGTTCAGTCGTGTCTGACTCTTTGCAACCCCATGGACTACAGCACGCCAGGCTTCCCTGTCTATCACCAACTCCTGGAGCTTACTCAAACTCAACGTCCATTGAGTCGGTGATGCCATCCAACCATCTCATCCTCTGTCATCCCCTTCTCCTCCTGCCTTCAATCTTTCCCAGCATCAGGGACTTTTCCAGTGAGTCAGTTCTTTGCATCAGGTGGCCAAAGTATTGGAGTTTCAGCTTCAGCATCAGTCCTTCCAATAAATATTCAGGATTTCC